CATGACGTTTAATTGGTGGAAATCCCAACAACAATCCCCTGTTGGCTTGCTTTTGACCTGTTGGTGCCCCTTTGGGGGCTGCGAGTTCTTTGGGATTTCCTGAAATGCCACCCCCAAAAACGGCACTAGCCAAAAGCAGCGGGCATTGGACCCCTCCAAAGCGACAAACAGCAAGCGAGCGGCAAGGCTGGGGAACGAGAGATCATCGACGGCATCTTCTTTGCACCTGGAGGCCAGCAGTTAGACGAAACCCATTTGCTGAAGTTCTCATTTTCATCCAACCCTTTGGGGGCAAATGGGGGTTTCGAAGGTTCAAAAATTCCATGTGGATGCGAGGGTAACCCTTTCTGCCCAACAATGTTGCGCGATTCCCCCCCAAAGCACTCGTCGTGTATCCTTCCTTCTTCCAAGCACCCTGAAAAACTAGGTCCTTCTATGTTCCTCTGGAGGATCGCTCCGCCAAAGGCTGGTCTCTTCAGGGTCTGGGAAGATCAAGGCTTCCCTTGATTGTAAGGGAAAACCGAAGGGCACCCTCCCCGAAGGGAAGTCTCCCAGCTGGAAGGCTCACTTGAGAAGTTGCTCCATTTAACCAGGGTTACAGGACACGCCGGATTCCCAAGTGATAGCTTGACATGGGTCTGCCTCGTCGGGTTTCCTTGTTGGATTTTCATGTTTCTTTTGGTTTGATTTTTTTTTGGGGGGGTCGACTTGGTCCGTCAGTTTCAGAAATGACTTCCACTCAGTTCTATGGGCCAGTTCCTCCTTCTCACCCATTTTTGGAGGAGAAGTCTCCCTAAAAATCAAGCACACTAACAACTAAGTAAACAACACTCCCTGAGTTCCGGGACACCGAGCGAAGAGTCACTTGTTTGGGCAATGCACTCTGGAAGTGAGAGGAAGGAGCTGAATGATTCCCCACATATGTTTTCTCAAGAGGACAGTTTGTGAAGACTGCTCCACTGGATAATTTTCATGATTTAGGCCCTTGAGAGCAAATGGGAAACGACCCCGAACCTCCAAACCACCAATCAGAGGGAAGCTGAACTCTGGCCAGCTGGAGTGTCGATATGTGTGTTTTTGTTCAGGGTAGACAAGAAAATATGAAACAGAAAGGAACAGGCAAGCTGATTAAAATCAAGTACCGTTTTTTTTTGGTGTGTGTGTGTGTGTTTGTTTGTGTCTTCTTTTTTTGTTTAGAGTTCAGGCCATGGCAAACATGGGTATGACTCAAGCCGCCCTAAAGTGGGTGGGGAACCCCTTTAGCTTCCCTGGAACTCCAACCTCAAACGCCCCACCGCATCTGATTTTTGGGTTGGGTGCAGGGAAGCTCAACCATCCAACGGTTTTTTTTCCTTTGAGGGGACCAAAGCCTGAGTTCATTCCCACAAACCCTACGAGTCTCCATGACCCTTGACAAATGGGGTCATTACCCAAAATAATGGGGTCATTGGCCCATTTTACAGGGTCATGGAGACTCCAGGTACTCCTTCCCCCAGTAGTGCCCTTTTACCATTATTTGAGGGAGGGTTCCCCTACTAAAATAGACAGAAACAAAATCGGGTACCCTTATTCTAGTCCCTCCACCGGAGGACCTAGCTTGACCTCAAAGTCAAACTTTTTTGGGCGGGTTTTGGAGCATTTCTAGTGCTAAATCGAGGTGACTGGCTTTTGGGTTCATTCCCACAAACGTCTCGCAGCAAGTTGCTTTGAGAAGTCCGCCTCCGCGCTTGGGAACCCCAGGAGCCCATGTCGGAGCGGCGCTTGCAGCGCGCCCTGGACAAGCGCATCGGCCGGGAGCGCTTGGATCTCATGGACCTGGAGGCCTCAAGCCGAAACCAGAGTCATGTTTTGTTTGTTTCTTTGATTTATTTTGTTGAGGGGATCCACTTCTTTAAAGGAGATTCAATTCTTCAATCAAAAAGCCCATTTTCCCAAAGATTCCTGTAAAACTATGAATACAGGTTGGTTTTTGAGTGTCATGTTAAGTGCAGAGTTTGTTTTCCTTTGGTTTCCCTTTCAATCCAACCCCAGTACCCTTTCTCAGGGTATGGGTATGGACCTCCGGGACCTATGAGCGAAGTGAAAAACTCAAGCCATCAGGTAATCCTTAGTTGGTGAATTTAGGTTGGTTTGGTTTCAGGTACCCCTTACTCCCCTACAGATTGAGATGGAACCCAGATTACCCACCCATTTGTACAGGAAACTCCTATTGGATTGCTGGGGTACAGGAACGTTCCAGTTCCTTTTTGGATGGTGAAGGTACCCGAAAGTCCAAACAGGCTGCATCAACTATTGGTTTGGAGTGGTGGGATTTGACCCGTAGAGGGTAGAAGGGAAACTCGTCTCCAAACCCCTGGGCTCCAAACCAATTCGAGGCGAAGGGACTCAGATGGGCGGGTGGCTTTGTCAGATGGGCCGCCAAAAAGGATATCTGATTTTTAGAGTAAGGCTGCGGTTTTGAACATCGACAGGATCGTGGCCGTTGACCTGCTTTGGATTCCCTGGGATCCACTGGGTCAAGTAAAGGTCCAGATATTATTGGGTGTTTAACTCTTTGGCGGACCGTGTTTTATATTTTAGAGCAGAGTAGACAAAGGGAATGGAGTGAGAACTTGTGCTGTGCTACAGATGTGGGACCGATTCAAGTCTGGGTGCCTGAAAAAAGATGGCCCAGCATCAAGCATCTTATCTACTAGTTGAAGGACTTTCACTATGATTTCTTGGATGAGGTTGATTGTTAGTAACAATATTTGAGGGTGTGTGTGTGTGTGTGTTTGTTGAGGCTCGGTATTGGAAAACTAGCAGGTAGCATATTTCATGTAGCGGGTCCCTTCCAGTGGTCGCTTTCGAGGGGTGAAGCTTTGCCTTCAAAGATCATGTAGACTGTAAATGTGCAGATGTCGTGTTTGCTTGAAGCCATCTTCTCGAGGGTCGTGGATCCATCAACTGATGAGCATGCAAAGGATCCTGTGCACCATGGCCACAGGGTTGGGCAAGTTGTTACAAGCAACCCTGGGTTTGCTGGTGAAACCTTAAGGAGCTTCTTGAAGCAGCGGCGTAATCCTGGTTAAACATAAGGGTTTGGCACTGGGGAGCCTACAAAAGTTGTGACAGAATAGTTCCAACGAGTTAATATGTGTTGCCCTTCCCACTAGGGAAGCCTGTTGTGTTTGTTTTGGCTTGTGAATGGGTTCCAAAACAGTCTCAACCTTGAGTTTCAACGAGGGAAGCCAAAACACTTGTGTGTTTCTTCAAACATGTGCCACCTACGTGTTTGCCAGTTTGAGGTTGGCCTGGCAAGCCAAAAGAAGCCTATTGTTCCAACAGCTGAAAGCTTGGGGGTCTTTAACCAGATATGGGCTGTTGAGTGATTCGAAGCGGCCCCGAGCGTTTCAAGTTCCACAAACCGCCTGAGCTTATCTCTAGGGACTCGCGCCGGTATTTCATGAGGAAACTGGTATCATGTGATTGCAGGACATCAAGGCCTGGCGCGACCTGCGGGGATACATTCAGATCGACTTCCTGGATGAGGCTTATCTCACAGGGGCTTTAGGTTTGTTCTCATTCACCTCAGTTGCCCAAAGCGAATTAACCTTTTGACCTCTTGGTTTCCCTCAGTGTGGTCCATATACATATATATATATATATATGTGTATGTATATATATATATATATTGCTAAGGCCCCACAAGGTATATATTTATTTCATGATTATTTTTTGGGCAGCTGAGTTGCAGGTTCACTGAACGTGGGTCATAGGGTGTGTTGTTTTTCTTGCAAGGCGACCACACACCAAGGATCGTTGTGTTTTGTTTGTTGTCTTGAAGGTTTATCAAACATGGAATGATTTTGTTTCATTCAGGTGTACGATGGAACTTTCATGGCTGTTGATGAGCTTAGTGCACGTTGGAAGGTTCACAGAATATGGAACAGATCAATCAAACATTTTTGTTGGTTGGGGACAAAAGCTGGGGTAGTTGTTGCTGTCTCCTTTAAAGTCATTTGATACACGTATGTATATATATATATATATATGTATATATATATATACGTATATATGTTAGGGTTGCTTTGAACTTATGTTTTGGGGTTGACTGCAGAAGAAACATAGTCTGAGCTAGCATTTTAGGGCTGACTAGTGAAGACGCAGAATCTGACACTAGGGTTGACGAATGAAGACACGCAATCCGAGCTTATGTCAAGGTCAAATAATTTAGTAAGGAAGAGACATAGCCTGAACATATGTTGTTAAGCCCAGATTTGGGCCAAGGTATTGTTGTAGAACTCGTATTGCTTTGCATCTTTCCCGGTGCAGGGCTGCCTCTAGCGATTTAGAACGACTTTGCTAATGCAGAAGGGGCCCCAGTGATGAATCCCCAAAAGGGGCCAGCCTGGATGAAAATCAACGGATTGATTAATCCGGGGTTCCCATCATCAGGGAGGCAGCGGTGAAGAAGGTTCCTTTCTTGGGGATTCAATTTGTATTTTCGGTGGGTGAATGCTTGCACAAAATGCCCAGTATGGGTGACCCGAATTTGGAGTTTTGGTTTCGAAGCCTGTATCCAAGCATCGAACTGCGGTGTTAGAGCCAATGGGTCACCAGTCACCCAGTTAAATTATAAGCAAATCTTGCTGTGATCCTGACGTTTGGTTTGGCACCCCACCATTCCGAGGTAATAGGCTCTTAGCAGAACACAGCCTACAGGTCACTTCAGCCCCCCTCTTTGCCCAGTTCAATGTGGGCCCTGGCTGTCAGAGATGTGCACCTGATGATGTTCCATTTTTACATTACCAGATGTGGGCGCACCTGAAGGTCGGACTTGCTCAAAGCACCTCAAGCGCTGTCCCCATAGCACCCTGCGACTTTCAGGCGGCAAAGTTCCAAGCGTGGAGGCATCTCACAATATTTAATCGGCTGCCTTTTCATGCATTTGATCCCGAGGAATCTGCGATGGTGGATTTCTGCGGAGTGCTCACGCTTTTGCTGCTGCTTTGCTTTGCATGCAGCGGTTGTACCTCGGCATACCTCGGCTGCGCAGAGTTCGGCAGATTTTCCGTAGCAAATCGACGCTTTTCTGAGGGTGTTGTCTGATTTGAGGGTTCCTCTTAGTCTCCTATTGAGAGCAACCGTTTGCTAGCAAGTTCTTTACTTGCCGATTCAGACAGACTTGTGGTTCAATGATTAAGGTACGCCCTTCCCGTTGAAGCGCTACACATTGCATCGAAAGCGGCATAAAGCTTTCTCGCAGAGAGGAAAGGGGTTTGTCTCCAAATGGGGACCCCCGAAAAATGAGCCGGGTTTCTTCAAGCTGTTCCTTTCAAGCCAGCCGCTTCCTGATCAAAAACCGTCAAACAACTGCCCAGACATGTTTGTGACCTGGGGCACCCCCAAACTGGCGGCGTTTTTTTTCTTTGGTTTCCCTTTAAGGCAACTCCAACAAGAACCCCTTCCGCCTCAACAAAAAGACGGTGACCCACCTCACCTCCGGTTCGAATAGAACGGGCTTTTGTGTCAGCCAAAGCCACTATCGCCATGGGGGAAATCATGTCGAATTCCCCTGGCCTCATCTGGCACGCCCTTTTTCTCTTTTGTGGAGGAGGCGCGTGCCTTTGATTTCAAGTAAACTCACTTCTTGGGTTCCTGGGCTTTAATCTTTGGGAAGACCTTCTTTTGGGGACAAACAATAGGTTTGGACTGATTTTTTTCCAATTTACTCAGGAGGGGAGGAACAGGTGCCCTTTTTCCCTTGGCATTCAAGAAACAGGTGCCCTTGCTCCACAATGGGACATCCGCAGGTTTTTGAGATCTGCATTGGCATGTGCAGGCTTCGACTGGATCGCCAATGCAGACCCCTTCTCCCCCGGCTTGATCCTGGTGGCGATACTTTCGATCTGCTTGGGGGTCATCATGCTCAACGTCATCCAGGAGCGCTTTTGGTTGGCTTGGATGCGGCTGGCTCATCCCACAGGAACAGCCCAAGGCAATCAATCCATTTTGACGCAGTTGAAAGATAGGTGATGGCATGTATCAAAGCCAGAACATCTGCCGCTTGGTCGACCCCGGATCAATCAACCCAGATCGATTCCCCAAAGCGAAATAAGGCTTCCCTCTGGAATGGTGTATCATCCAGGAGCTTATGATTTCTAGTTGCTCATTAATGGCCAAGCACTAAGATCGGCAACAGCTGAAACTTACATTCCCCTTCCTGTTCAAGGTTGACCCCGGATTAACAAACCCATCCTATTATTTGGGGGTGTCACCCTCAAAAGTGAAGGATTCCCACTAAAAGTGGACACCCCCTGATTAATCAACGGGGGTTTACCCTCCTGTCCACTAACATGGATTCTACTAGAAAATCCTTTAACGCGAACCTGAGTCGTCCGTCTCATGATTATTTCTCAGAGTTTCAGGTGTTTCCATTGCATGAATCAAACAACAGGAGCGGCTTGCAAAAAGCAGGAGAGAAAATCAAGCGCTCTTGGGAGAAGCAACTGGAGACAACTCTCGGGTAATGCCTTGCAACTATAGATGTACTTGAGTGGGTATTCAAAACGCTTTTACTGAACACGCACTCTCTGGAAACTCTGTTGTTGTTGTTGTTGTTTTTGCGGGGAGTTTGCGGCTTTTTGCGAGAGATTGCGGGGTTTTGGCGCTGAGTTTCCGGCGTGGTGTTTCTGGCTTTGTTGATTGTCACCCAAATTCTGAATACATTTGAATTCTCAACAATTATATGTTGATTCGGGTTCATATGAAGGATTCTGATTCTGAATGTTTATGAATTGGAGGGCTCCTTCCGTCAAGTATTGAACAAATGCGATTTCTGGGGAGTTCAGGAGAGCAAGCCAATTGTCAGGAGTCACAATCAATTTCTAGGAGTTTTACCACAACTAGGATTTTGCTGAGACCCTCTTAAAAGTGGTAGTCTCCGGATGTTGCGTTAACTGTCCATTTGGAAGATCCAGGAAGATAGTCCTTCAGGACCCTCAGTCAGGTTCCATGTGTGCGGATGGGAGCGTATTCATGGGTCAACAATATACCCTAAATTCGTCGAGCCACACCGGTTGCAAGGTGTTCCGAGGCCCAGTTGGGACCGCTGGAAGGCAGATTCGGTGTATATTATGTTTCTTTCTCGCTTGCATGGCTCTTTGGAGCATGAGACTACTCAGTCTTTTGGCAACCTCAGACATATTTCGACACGGGACTTCTTCAGGTAGCTAGCTCAAATGCACTCAGGTAGGACATTGACAGGTTGTGCAAAATACGTCATTTCCGGACCCAAAATGGGCTTCCACTGGGTTTCCCTTTGAACCCTTCAACCAATCCCTCCATTCCCGGGTTAAACTCCAGCGTTTGTCGGACCTTCCCCTTTCCCCTGCTTGCCTCTAGTTGCAGCTTTTTGGACCTCCCGTCCCTTGCAACCCTGGCTTTGGAGAGTAACCATGGTTGCCGACTCAGCGATTCCAGAACATCCCAAAATGAGTGGTGTTCCATTTGGTTTCCCTTCAAGCTAGCCCCAAGAAAATACTTGGGCGTTCGACTCCGTTCGACCAAGTTAGCAAGTGGTTAACCCTGTTCCTTCGCGGGTACCCCAAGTGGCTAGCCACTCACTATCTTGGCCATGAACATCCAAGTACCCGGTTTTGAGGTTCGTTTTAAAGGTTGTCCATTCTTTTTGTTGGGGGGGTTCCTTTAAAGGGAAACACGAGTCTGCAGACAGGCCTGCATCGACATCAACGAGCTGCTGGACCGAGATGCCGAGGCGCTGGTTGATATCCGCGAATCACCGAAACGCGAGGACTCGAAAGGCCCTCCAGTTTTTGTTTTTGTCTTTCCGGTGGAGGAGGGGGTGGTTGGTCAATTTTGGCTTAAAAAGGACCCGCCCCGATAAAAAATGGACACTTTGTGAAGGGTGGTTGTTTCCGCACAAGTGGTTTGAACGTGTCTAAACCAGCAGCTACCAAGTTTGGGTGCCGGGCTCTCTTCTGGCCAAAGGGAATCTGTTTTAGTTTGAAGCCGACATATATATATATATATATATATATGTATACATATGTGGGAAAGAGGAGCATGTGTGTTATCGTTTGACCCCTCATATTCTTCTCACTGACCCTTTCTACTTTTGGGAGGGGGGAGGTCTGCTTATTGGACCTTGACATGGGCATGGGGTCTCCTCCCAACTGATCCGATATAAATATGTATATATATATATATATGCTACCCCCCCCCCCCTTCCGGGACCCCCCCGCGAGTCCCCCCCGGGACCCACGCACTTATATATATATATATTCTCACACCCCACCCATGATCCACTTTCCTCCTTTGCACATCTTCCATTTTTGCAAATCCACTCAAAAGCTACCATAGCTTTGCAAATCTGATCATTTGCCATCTTCCATCTCTTCAAATCTGCTCCACTACTGTCCATTACCTTTCCACGTGCTTGCCGAACTGCAATTAACTTTGATCGAAATCCTGGTTGGAATGGATGTTCTACATAAACTAGCAATCAAAATAAACATTCAAATTCCATTTACACTGCAATTATCTTTGACTAAAGTCCGATTTGGAAAGTACTTCCCTCTTTAATCCTCAAATAGAATAGACATTCAACCGCATGTGTTTTGTTCTTCAATTCTATTGCAATTCTAATTGGATGTTGATTTACATCTTATTTAACAGATATTTAGATTTAAGTTCTAGTTAACAGTAAATATATCTGAATTATTCCCTTGCTAAGTTCTATTCATGGACAGGACGCCTCACTTAGTTTCTAACTGAAGATAGAAGTCTAATGGAACTCATGTATTAAATACTATGCAAGTTCTGCTAGTTAATGCTACTTCACATCTCACATGGAAAGAACTTCTCCTGTCTTGAAACACTGATTGAACCTCAATTGGAGTCCAATTTGGCATAAAGAGCCCTTATAAGGAGTTTTGAAGGGAAGCTTTTTACAGAGCTTTAACAGGAGCTGCATAGGGAGCCCCATAAGCAGCTTTTCAAGGAGTATAAGGAGCTTCATAAGAACTTTAAGCTGTGCATTATAAGCTGTATACAATATGCAGCTTTGCAATGACCCTTATAAAGGGCTTTATCATGAGCCTTAGAAGGAGCGGCACAAGCATCTGCGCAAGGAATTGTACAAGGAGCCTTTCAGGAGCCAAAAACAGAGCTTTCTGATGAGTCGTATAAGGAGCTTTATTTGAAGCTTCATTCAAACAGTCTTATGAGCAGCCAAGTGAGCTTCAAAAGGAGCTTTGCAAGCAGCTTTATAATGCGATCCTTATATGGAGCAATGACATGGAAGACTTGCATACGGAGCTTCAAAAGGAGTCCTACAAGCAGCTTCACAGGAGCCTTATGAGGAGTTTTACACGGAGCCTTGTACAATGAGCCTTATAACGAGCGTGAAAAGGAGCTGGACCAGGAGCCTTCTTTAAGGTGCCTTCAAAATAGCTGCATCAGGAGCTTGAAAAGGAGTGTTGAATTCCAATTTAACATTGAACATCTAGTTCACTGGTCATGGCAGTATCAAACCTGCCCAAATTATGGATATGCCAAGAAACACAACTCGAGAAACAACAAAACACAACCCAGAGGAGAAGTGTTGGTTTTTGCCCAATGGGTTTGGGCTTGGTGGTTTTTGCCCGTGTTCTGTTGTTTGGTTTTCTCGAGTTTGTTGGGATGTTCAGATCTATCCCTTCAAACAATAGCTAGGGTCCTCATGAAGAAGGCCCCCAAACCATTAAAAATACAAGAAAAACAAAAACGCAGGGCCCTCATGAAGAAGGAGAAAACGAAAACAACGAAAAAAACAGAAAACCAAGAGAAAACGAAAAAACAAACGAGAACAACTCAGAAACGCCAGAAACATTTAAAAAAAACACAGGGTCCTCATGAATTCTGGTTTGGGGGCCTTCTTCATGAGGATCCTGGTTTTTCCCCAGATAGCTGAAAGCTATAGGGGTTCCAACTTCCAATTAAAAGGGGAAAGTGATTTGCGAGATTGATGGGAGGGTGCTAGGGGGCGTGCAGTTTGAGGGCCCCTGTTTTTTGTTGTTTTTCTGGTTTGGGGCCCTTCTACAAGAAGATCTTGGTTTTTTTCTTTCCTCTTCCATAGGACCATGTTGTTTGATCGATTTTTCAGCTTTTCCCACCTGTTTTTGAGCTTTTTTTTGACTTGGGGGGTTTTGGGGGAGGGGGGTAACACTATATATATATATATATGTATATGTATTGAAGCAGAAGCTGAACATCGTGTCGTTGGTTTTTGTTTGGCGTGTCTGACACCCTCCTTTTTGGGCTTGTTGTAAAGGGAACCCCACTCGACGCCTCTCCTATTCTTGGGACCCCCACTCCCGCCCCTACCTTCGGGGAAGGGCTCACCACACCTCAAACACGGAGCCCGCAGCACGAATTGTTCAGACACCTGAGAAATCCCAAGGGACAGCATTCATAGGGTTCTTCTTTCGAGTTTGAGACCCCGCCCCCCGCTCCATGCCTGGTCTTGGGTCATTTCCCCGGTCACTGCGGGAGGTCACTTCGGGAATGAGGCTAGCATTTTCGGGGCCTTCGGTCCTGCTTTCGAGCCAGAAGAGGCCCTCGTTGGTTTCTTGAAACTCTTCACTCTGCAGAGTCCCCCATATTTCCACTTCCCCGGCGTTCAAAGATCCCAGAGCTAAAATGTTGCCATTGTCAAAGTCACCTAAGAGGTCTAACCCCAACGCCGCTTCAAGCGACCCCAAACATGATGCCCCCAAAGAACACACGCAAAGGAAACGGTCCAAACAATGATCCCAGTACAACAGACTGGATGCCCCCTTCCAGATGTGCACTTTTTTCTGGCGGTGTCCATTAAAACTGCCACTTTTGGAGGTCCCCAAATTGGACAAGATAATTGTGGCTGGTCTTTGGTGTGACGAAATCGCCCAGCAGAGACGCTTTGGACATTAAATAGCTTTTGCATTCAACCTAAACACAGGGGGGCTCGGAGCAACCCTTTTTTGGTTTTTGCCAAGAGTTTGTTGTTTCTTATTTTTTCTTTCGGCTTAGGGGTCAAACTGCACAAATACTGACCCACCCTTGCCCTGATGTTCAAACTCAAACCTTCCATTTGCAAAAACATCACACCCCCTCTACACCCCTCCAACACCCCCCCCAACACCCCCCCAACACCCACCCCACCCCCTGCCAACACCCCCTAACCAAAAAACATGGGCCGGAGCCATGGGAATCCATGGGACCGGTGGCCGCCTCGTCGGATCAGGTGCTCACCGAGGCCTCGGCGGAGGCTCTGCTCTTGCGCCGCGAGAACGCCGCGGAGGTGGCGGCGCTGCTGCACTCCATCGAGCGACGCGCGGCTCGGCACGGTGTTTTTTTTTGGTCTGGGTGGCTTAGCAACATATATATATATATGATTGCAACATATATATATATATATATTATTATTATTATTATTATTATTATTATTATTATTATTATTATTATTATTATTATTATTATTATTATTATTATTATTATTATTATTATTATTACTATTATTATTATTATTATTATTATTTGCCAGCTGCTATTATTGGGTGTCTTTCTGGTTGTCGGTTGCTGAACAATTATGTTTTTTTTGGAGATTTGTTGCCAGTTGATCTTCGTGGTTGTCGTTGTGGTGTCCCAATCAATTCTTAATATTTACGCCGGATGGTATTATTGGTTCCTTGTGTTGATCCACGGATTGCGGAGGATTGGAGATCCGCCTTTTTGAACACCACAGTTAATCTAGCTTGATTGACCAATGATCCACCAGGCTGATTGCACAAGGTTACTGAATTGAATTCGCCTGTTTGCCGCTAAATTGCCTTTTTTGGGAGATCCCGCAAATTGTTTTTTTGTTTTGTTTTTGCTTTAGGAAGATTTGCTACGCAGTGCTGAAAAGGCGTTTCGCCACTATAGTAGGTTAGGCAACAACAATGATATTCCATGTGAAACCTTGAGGTAAGAAACCCGAAGGGTTACCTACCATAGTCGTAGCTGGAATGTGTTTTATATTTTGAAGGTATAGACTAAATATGAGACGGAATCAGAAGACATGATCATTAGACCAGATGTGGGCAACAGGGTTGCAACTGTTGCGGCTTCTCAGTCGAATTTCTTGCTGATCTTGTTTGGTGAGAGTCCCAGCTTGACACAGGGGGTGCTTTCGTATGGTCAAATAGTTTGGCCAATTCAATCTCAAAGGCATCCTAAGTGTGTAGCTGTCCCAGCAAGGAATCAATCGTTTTTTGGTATCGAAAATGGGGATTGTTCAACGGCTCAGTTTGGGGGCTATAGCACGTTCCGTGCATAGCAAGTTTCTTTGGATCCAAGGTTTTGGAGCAAGGATTGTTATGCGTCAAAGTAATGCAAGGGGCCGACTTTCTGGTGCTCAGTAGGGAATGACCCAGGGCCCAGGGTGTTGGGAATGGGATTCCTTAAAGGAGATGGGTTATAGGGGTCATCCCCTCATTCCCTGCTGAGAACCAGCAAGAGCAATTGCCAATAGTGTTCTCGCCTAATCATGACCAAAACTGGTTCTAAAGTAGCCTTCAACCCCATTCTAATCATTGAACGGCCTCATAGGCTTAAACCGGAGTTCGGATTGTCCTTTTGGTTTCCCTTTAGACCAACCTGCAAAGGGCACCCTCAGATCCAAGACGATCTATGAGTATGTGTCAAAGTAGGGCGACCCCTGAAATAGTTTCCCTTTAAGCCAAACTAAAAAAAGTACATTCAGAAACATGTGGCCCCTGTTTGAACGGTAGCCGAAGGAAGCCAGTCGTTTTCCGGGGCTATTTTGACTATAGTCGGTGCAATGTTTCCTTTGCTATCCATTGACTGAGACTTAAATTTGAGCTTAAGCAGAAACCAATACTACCAATACTCAAAATCCATTGTTACCAGGGCCGAATCTTAAACCGTCTCAATTGTGCCAGGGTCTTTGGGGTGACGATTGTGTCTGCTCAGATTGCCATGTTCGACGACAAGCAGCAGATCCTGGGGTGCCTTCGGCGAATCGAAGCTTGGGGACTTGGGGCGGACCGTGGGGTTGAAGTGAAGGCCCGAACGTCGAATTCCAAACTTCTTCAAAAAGCAAAAACCAAAAACACAACAAAAAGAAATATTTTTTAGCACCACCGCCCGCCACCTGTCATTGAATCCATGCATTTGCTGCGTCAACAGCTCTGGGCTCACCACATTCCTTGTAATGTTGCCTATGTCCTTGTTTCTTTTCTGTTGGAGGGAGGTATCCTGTGCCTTTGCTTGTTTTCCCCCGCGATCTCCCGGCCGATTAGTTTGTTCAGCTGCACATGTCCCTGTCCTGAGAAGCCGTTGTGTATTTGCTTTCCTCATGTCCACCGATTTGGTTCTGTTCAACAGCTCCAGGTCCGCCATTGGTTCCCTCCCGCCCACCCTTCTCCGTTCAAGCGCGTTTAACGATGCCCATTTTCATCAGACTAAAGGGAAACCCACCAGTGTTGGGTCGATGGATCATAGAACTGGGTTGTAGACTTTCCCACAAGAAAACCAAACAAATGGCCAAGTTGCTACTTCCACACGCCCTCTTGGTTAACTAACTGTTCACTCTTCATGTTGGTGTTTGTTTTTGAGGGTTGGTTCTAAAGGAAACCCAAAAAGGAATCCAGAAAATAGACACACCCATGTGTGGGTTGATCAAAAGGTCCTTCACACTGCATGATCATTGTGAAAACCAAACAAACAGATGATCTTCCAGCCACATGGGAAAAGTGACTCATGCTCAACACTGGGGACCCTAAATGGAGTATTGAACAACGCCCCGATCTATGAAACAACAACTAGGTCCCCCAGCAGTGCCCTTTTGCCCCTTTTTTGGGGGAGGGTTCCCCTAATAGACTACAGAAAAAAGGGTTCCATTATTCTAACCATTCAACGCCTGCGCTGGTGAGGTTCACCATGACGGCGAGCTTCCGCAACGGCTGGGTGGCCTCTCTGGTGCTCGCCGCCCTCAGCTCCCTGGTGGAGCTCGTGCGCACCATGCGCGCCTTGGCTGCTGGAGCGGAGGTGGGTCGTTTTCATGCGCCACGCACGGGTTGTTTGGTGGCTGGAGGTGGTCGGTTTGTGACCCTTCAAAAAGATGTCATGAGCCCTTTCTTTTGGTTAAGCCCATTTTCGGGGATCGTGGAGACTCTGGGATTTTTTTTTGTTTGGGGGGTGGAAGACGCCCGCTTTTGGAAGGTAGTCGTTCAGTTTTGTTCGAGCGGACGCCCTCTCCCTGTTCGGGTTGGAATTCGCGGCAAGAAGCCACCCTCATGGCGTGTTTGGGGCTTGGTCTCCCGTTTAGAGTTGTTCATAGGGTTGGTTCCTCTTTGTTTTTTTGGGGTGCGGGCAGCGGCAGCAAAAACGGAGGCAAAGATGTCGGCTACTGGATCGCCACCGGTGACCAGCTGATCATGAATGCTACGGTGAATGCATGGTCCTTCTGGTCACACAACGAGACGAGCCAGTGAGCAGTCAGCATGCCATTTAGTTTTCCGATGTAGCTCAGACGATTTAGTCGTCTGATGCAAACAAATACCAACCGCCGAACTCGAGATGTCATTCGATTTAAATCAACCCAGGCCTCCGGTGGTGCCCTGTTCTTTTTTTGTGGGCGGGGCGCTGTGTGAAAAGCATTAAGTACCCAATTTTCTTCCATGGGCACCAACCTTGGAAGGGGAGTCTGCAGACCTTCCATGTGTGTTGTTGGGGTAGATGGTTTGGAAGTGGAAGATCAAAGCCAACAGATCTGTTCGTGGCATCATATGGAAGGCTGACTGTATGGACAAGTTGGCGCCTCTTTAACTGGTTTACCATACGTCCACACTAGCGGTACATTGAACCCAGAAGCTAGTGGTTCACACACGTAGTCCACATATGAGGATGTGTCAAGGCTTTCAGTACAGTTTGTGGCAAGTTTGGGACATTGATGGCCCACTGAACTCTCTGCAAAAGAACACGGAACTCACTGATTTTCCCATGCCCTCGGAAAACGTCAATATTTTTTACGCCTCTCATGCACATCCAGCCTTTAAAGCTGGTTCAAGGGTGTGTGTGTGTGTGTGTGCGTGCAACCCGCAGACGCACAGGTTTACTTATTTCATTTGCCGCTACAGAGATGGCACATGATTCCCGCAACAATCCTGGCCTCAACAGGATTTCCAATTCCAGAGGTCGATCCCACTTTCAGACAGTCGGGAGTATTATCCTCTTGACATGGCCACAAAACGGTTTTGGGGTCCGAGCCCCTGGCACGCGGTGCCAACTGCGGCGCAAAGCCATGGGTTTGAGACTCCACGGCGGGAACCGAGGGGACTCAGAAAGCAAGCCATGTCGTTCGTCTCGAAGCAGTGCAGGAAAATCCACAAGGAACCCCATGCGAATCACAAGATGCATGTCGAGAAACCCCACACGCCGCTTTCGTCGCGCTCCTTCTCCCAAAGTGGGGGAGGGCCAAGGGGATGCCAAACTTTCGCTCGAGTTCGACCCCAATCAATCAAAACAACTGGGTGTGTGTGCCATATCTCACCCCCTGAGTCTGTGAACTTGATAATTTTGGGTTTGGACCACTTTCGAGGTAAAGCAGCTCGGACGTGTCTTGGCCAATCCAGGGAGGTTGATGGAGAAACCTTGGTTCCACTGGAAACACCTGCTACTTGCCCTAGCATACCTAAATGAACATACCCCACGTGTAAGCCCAGCACAGCTGTGTATCCCATCTACCACAAATCTGAGTTTTGTTGGAGCTGGTACTCTTTTATTTGTTGTAGAGGAAAATTCAAGGGAACACCGAAGCCAGTTTGGGGGTACGCCTATACTAAGAGCCACCCCAAAATGGGTGCCCCCCCTCCAACTAACATAGCACCAGACATGGGGTCCCTTAAAGAGGAAACCAATCTTCCAGCTACCCTCCCGGGTATGTGAGTTGGGTCCTAATCGACTCGGTTGCTGGTGGACTTGGATCGGATTCAATCTGGCATCACCCTGAGCAGCAGCCGTGCTTTTTGCTGGGCTGGGGGTGGCCAAGATGGCTGCACAAACCCGCCTTGCAGCGCAAGTGGAAACAAAGAGGTGTCAAGCACGGCAGGGCAACCAGTTGTTCCTTCTTCTAGTTGTTTGGTCACCCTTTCTCCCGTTGTTGGTTGCTTCCCCAGTGAACATGCACCCCATAAAGTGCTCCCGGCTGGATCCTTGTCGCAAGCTTGCGCCGCCCTGCATGAAGTCCTTCGGGGTCCACTTGTGGCTAGAGCTAAGGTAGGTCAGTAGAAGCCCATGGGGATTCATCTGCCTGGAGTCTTCAGGACCCTTTAAAAATAGGTCCATCACCCCTTGATTTTGGGCAATTTCCCCAATTTGTTCAGGGTCATGGAGACTCCAGGTAGTTCTCACTCCTCGAGTCCCTGAACACCATTACACTATACAGGGTGGCGAATATTGAGTAGCAACAAGCAGTTTAGACTTTGATTGGCAAATCCACTCAGGAAGTGAGGTTTTCGGGGTTCAACATCAATCCGCAAGATGCTTACGTTTTTAATGGCAGTAGTTTCCCTTGCCGTGGTGTCCGACTATGGATTCCAAACCTGATTTGGGGAGACCCCAAAAGAGGCCCGAGTGATGGGCCCAGCTTGCCATCGTAAAATTGGTCATGTGTCGAAAGGAACTCCTGTTCAGTCTATGGAAAGAGGGCCACTCACTGATTTGGCGGTTTACTCCTGGCAGAAAGGCGGTAGCTCGGTACTGGGCACGAGACTCTTAGACCTCTATTCATGGTGATGGAAGGATTTCTTATCCAACCAAAGGTTCAACATTGAAGAGATCAATTAGTGATTACCGGCAACCGAAAGGGAAAGCCTGCCTTAACTATCGTGCAACATGCGATGTTTAAAAACACCCTTTGAGCTGCAGGAAATGCCGTGAAAAAAGCATCATGGGCCAACAAGCAAGCGCCTTTTGCCTCAACAGGAATGTGTGTATCTTTTTCCAGGTGGCTTAAGCAAATGGAAGTTTGCAGGACTATGTCAACTAAGTCAAAGAACAAGGAAAGGCGCCCCAAGGGGGTCCTTAAAAAGGACTCCAAAGAAAGGGGTGGCACCCATATTGGCTTCGGGCTTGGCAGCCCCAGGTAGCAGTTTCCGAGTTTTCGGTTTTGATCGGCGGGAGGCGCTCCGGCGTGGCTCGCAGTCCTCCATCGACCTGGCCAGAGATGCCAAGGACTGGAGCTCATCTGGTCGTGGGGGGGGGGGGGGGCAGAGAGCCAGTGGGTTGAAATTCCTTGATCATTTTGGGAAGGGGGGGTTGCCTTCATCCTTATTTGTCCTATTTGTGTGAGGGGGTGATGTTCCTTCAAAAGCAGGCCAAACGAAAGAGCGCCCCCTTTTTTTCCTTCCGATGTTTGCTGGTCCGGGAACAAAGGCGGTAGTCTCACTTTTGGTTTGCCACTGTCAGAATCAGGGGCCTTTTCACGGCGGCCTTGGCGGAACAGGCCCAAGATTCACCAGGCCCTTTGTTGTGAGCCCCTAAAGGCAGCGCGAGATGCCCCAACGAACTCAAAGGCTTTGCGGCCTGCAAAGTGAGGACCCAAAATGCCTGGGTGTATGGACTCCTGCCTATGGACGTGTCTTTTTGAGGGTACCTTTCGAGGGTGGTTTAAGGGGAAAGCCAAAAGGAAGCCACCAATTTGGGGCAGGGGGGGGAGAGTGGCATAAAAAAGGCACGCCCAAATTTAGACCCGACGGGATTTTTAGGATTCGGCCCCGTTTGGAATGCAGAGTTGCAAGCAAAAGCTCGGCACGCAGGTCCAGTGACTTGTTGAGTGTTGCATTCTGGGCTGTTCAAGGTCAATCCTTAAGGGTGTCTCGCTTAGATGTCGACTGTTTTTGGCCAACCCACTCAGGGATTGGCGCATAACCACTCCCCTAAGGGGTGGTTGGGGTCTTAATGAGAACCCGTGATTCTGCTCCCACACCTCAGGCCTTTGCTTCCCCCAGCCATTTTGAGGTCACAACATCTACCTGGAGTCTCCTACTAGTACAACATGGGGTCATTACCCCAAAAAACCGGGCCATGGAATTTCCCATGTTTGATTCGGGTCAGAAGGAGAGACTCGCCTGGAGTCACACCCGTGGCATCCCGTTCGCCAGGCCAACGCGCCGAAGCGCGGCCAGAGCAGCAGCCGTGTGCCGGGCAGCCAATTCCAAGGGAAGCAGCATACGGACGTTTTCTTCAAGAGCACGATGTCAACTCCTGACTAAAACCAAGGAGGTATTGGTTTGGAAAACCTGGTTTTCCAAAAGTGTCCCGAGAGAAAGTGTATTTGGAGTAGGGGCCGGGTTGATCTTAGATGTCACCGGTGTCACTTTAGTTCTTTTGTTTTACCGGCGCTCTCCATTTTGTTCAAAATGACACCCTTGTCTCCCATGAAATCGCTTTCGCGGGTGCCAGATGCACTGCAACCCAGAGACATGTTTGTGTGTGTGTGTGTGTGTTTGGAGGGTAGCCTTTTGGAGGTTAAAGGGATGTGCTAACTGTGGCTTCAGGTGTTCTGCGCGAACTGTTTGTTTACACAGAGCACTTGTATGTGTTCTTGTAGGGAATCCCTTTTGCCCATAGGCGAACCGCAAGGATTCCGACACTCAGCGGCAGCGTTACTTGAAGTCATCTATAGGTTGTGTGTCATTGGACGAGCGCTTTGGTTGGGAGCTTCGCAGACATGCAGGAGTATCGCCGAGTTTGCCAGGGTGTTGTGCGGCGGTTCTGAAGCCTTGACTAGAGGACTTGCCAGCCTTGGGAACTCGGTCAGTCATACATTTGAGGGTCTTTGGTTTGAAGAGAAGCCAAAAAGGCAACCCCACCCATGCTTTGGCCTCCCTATTTTGACCACGGGGCCAACCCACTCACCCTGCTATAGCCAGCACAAGACCAGGTTTTTGTTATAAACTACTCGTAATAAACGGGTATTTGAAGTAGGGGGGGGGCAACCACCGTGCTGATGAATCTGTCATGAGCCAAGCCGTTCAGTGATCCGGAGGCGGAACACACATTTTCTGGACGGGTCCCTCCAGATTTTGTGACAAGGCGCTCAGAGTTTTGACATGGAAACCCAGGATTGGCTGGATGCTCAACCAGGAAGTGTCCCTTGGTGAAACTGTCTCAGCAGATGCTTTACCGCGAGGGCAGAGCGGACTCCAGTCCACGAGGAAATTTCACGGGGTTGGCGGACTGTTCGAGCCGCCGGATCGCTCGCCGGCCACCAGCCCCTGCTCACTTTTAGCTTGGAGCAGTTGGTGCAGCGTGTCCGCCAATTCCATCGTCAGATGGCCAATCAGCCCTTTTTGAGGCTAAAATCCAACACCCCTTCCCGCTCTTGCTTCACACAACCACACCCACCAGCCACACCCAGTACCCATGCTTGAATTAGAGCAGGGGTTGCTTTGAACCTCCAGTTCCCACCCACAGGCCACGAATCTTAGGAACATCCCTCAACAGCGGTTGGTGGACATAAATCCCCGATTTTGGCGATGTCACCCCATTTCGGGCTCCCAGTTAAATCATGCCGTGACAAGCCAGCAAACAGTTTGGACTTGCCAGTCCTCTCAACTGAAGGAAGCCTTCGGGACGCCAGCCATTTTCTACCCCCAATCTTACGAATCTTAGCACCTTCGGCCGCGATGCTCGGTGGCGCGCTGCCGCCGCGGCCCCCGGGGAATCCACCGGCGCAAGTGCCGCCTCGGGAGCTGCCGGCGGCGGGGAGGCGGAGGTTTGCGCACCAGGGGGAGCGACCGGACCACCTGTGGTCGGCGCCTTGGTATCTGAAATTCGCAGTTCTTGGCATTTTGGCACTTATTGCTTTTTGTTTCTTTATTTGTTTGGTTCTGTTGGTAAACGTTCATTGTTCGTGGGCAGAGAAAGAGCACCAAGCCAAGGTTTCGGAAGTTCAGGTCGCAAGATCCATCGCGTATGGATGGCCCTCGAAAGACTGTGGGGTCAGACCTCCAGTGGCCCAATTCCATTGTTCCTATAAACATTGAAAGGGGGTTCCTAAGTCAATGACCGAAAGGTGTGCGTGGTTTTACCATATTCGGCAGGAGGTCTCGTGAAGTTCATTGTGTTGATTGTTTCTGGGGTAAAGCTCGGGGTTGTTTCCGTTACCGTTTAGCCCCCGGCTTGTGAGGTTGGAAAAAGTCATGATCCCCAAAAGTATCCTACGCTACTTGTTAAACGTATTCCACCTACCTAAACGTTTCCATATAACAATGATCTGAAGATAAGCAACTTTCGCTTGCCACTTGTTTCCCCTTACCCAGAAAGACCCACAGAAAGTTGGGCCTGCAAGTCAAAAGGTTCAGTCTGGTGCAGTGGAAAGCACTGGACAGATGCAGTCACTAAAGACGACAAGTGCCCCAATCGGAACAAAGGACCTTGGGTGTGTTTTGTTGCGCGTGCCCCCCATTTTGTTGTGCCCTTTTAGAGGGAACCCGCATGTTTTCGGGTGAGGTTTTTAAGGATTTGACCCTTACAAAAAACTCGATCTGGAGCATCTCTCTCTCACTTGCTCTGGGTCCATTCAAGCGGTCTCAACATTCTTCTCCAAATGGCGATTTCAAGGGACACCAAGCCCTTTGGAGTGAATTTGGATTGCCCACTTCTTTGGTGTTTTTTTGGTTTCTCTCTAAGCAGGATCGGCCTGGAAGGCGTCTACGACACCATGCGGCTGCGGTGGTGTTTTTTGTTTTAACATGCAAGGAACCGCCTGGAAAGTGGTTGGTGGACATGAATCCCGAAAGAAAAGGTCCAGTCATTCCCTTAGTGGACTAATTCTACCGACATGCTCACTCAGGTTTATGTCGGCCCTATAGCCATGAAAGCAGGTCGTCGAGCCTTCCAAACCGGCCAACCAAGCTGTTCGGCGCCGCTCTGGTGTTGTTTTTGTTGTTTCTCGGAAGACATGGTACACTCACCAAAAATTACTGGCCCAGGACATGGAGGTTACTCACACCTGGCTCAGATGAGCAGACCATAGGTGTTACTTCCCCCCTCTGCAAATTGAGGAACTCCAAATCCCGTGATTTGCGGAGGGATGTGCTTTGGGGACATGGGGCCCCCATTTCCGGCGCTTGCCATGGTACATGCAGAGTAACTCACCTTCAAAGAGCTTGGCGCAACTACGGGGCACATGTTTGGCTTCTAAATTGGAGGCCGCCGCATTTTGAGACAAGATGAAACATTGCAATTTTGGGGGTCTAGAGATTGAACTGACCCAATTCAAGGCAGAGTAGCCTGAACTTTGCGCCATGTGTGCCATTCATTGAGCCCCTTCTTAAGACAAACCAATTTTGGATTCGGAGTTGTGCACCTTTGAGTAAGCATCTTTTGGAGGTTTCACCACCCCTGGCATCTTCAGAGAAGAGGCAAATGAGCCCTAAGTTTCTAGTGTCATATCGCTGGGGTTTTGGCCAGGGGGTCTGCGGGAAAGTCATTCAGCTTGGAAGGGGCTTCTCTGGTGACCTTTGCCCTGCGTCAGCCAACAAAGCAAGGGATTGTGAATTAGTTCCGGCTGATTCCGGCTCTGGTGACCTTTTTCTGTTGACCCTTTTCAGGAGTACCAGCATTCAGCCGATTTGGACCCCCGCAGCTGGCAGTTTTTTTTCCCCCAGGGACCTCCGCTCGCGTCCCGGGCGCTCGCTGTGAGGTGCTCCACGCCCAGGACGACTCGGAGCGCGAGCGCGCGGGAAGGCCTCGCAGCCGCGAGGAGCCGCGGAGGGAGAGCCGCAGCTTGCCGAGCCGCCCGGAGGATGGAGGCCGGGCCTGGGCCACCCGTCAAAATGGCAGTGGGTCAAAAAGGGGTAGCCAAAATGGGTTGCCCTGGTAAATGGAACCAACCACTAAAACCTGCGGTCTCCTGGTGGTTGAATTTTGACCCATACCCAAATGAGGAATCCGCCAAAAGATGTTCCCCTTGGGGGAAATTTGTTTTTGAGGATACCCCTGTTTTGGTTGTCAAGGGAGGCAAAAAGAAAACCTATGGGTATGTCTTTGGTTTTTGAGGGTACCTCATTTTTGGTCGTCAAGGGAAGCCAAAAGGAAACCTGCCATTCTTGGGTTGTTCCTTCCTTGTTACGATTTGTTCGAGGGGTGTCGCATTGAAATCAACTACCCCCCCAAAAAACAAATGAAAGAAGAACAACATGCCATTTTCCCAATGGCCACTGGGGGTCTGGGTAGCCTACCCAGACCATCTAGATTGTTGTCATAGCTTTATTTGGATCCAATTCTTATTTCATGCTCCGGAGTTAGCGTAGAATGCTATCTATCTCCTTGGCTATTTTGCTGGTGTTCAGGGAATTTTGAGGCCCGAACTGATAGTTGCCCGGAAAAACCATCTCCTGAAATCCCTTTCCCTGAGAAATCCTTCGGACCAAGTTGCACGGAATGGGATGAATGGGTTGGGGGGTGACTTAACATTCGAAAACCAGGCATCCAACCAGGGAATGCTGGCCCCAGATCTAAGTGGATGATTTTGATGGGGGTGTCCCCCTTTTAGTGGTTGAATCCGGATCACTTCTGTGGGTGACCCCCATTCGGAGGACGCGTTTGTGAGTCCGAAGACAACATTATGATGCATTCAAGCAGCCAAACACATGAGGACCCCCCGCCCCACCCCATTCTCCAGAAGGTTCCCAGAAACGTACGAGCCCTTTCTAAGAAGGCTTTCCGAGCTCTTCCTGCAGGCTGGGTGGGTGGGCCATGAGCATGAGGTTATTTTGCAGCCCCCAAATGGCTAAAGAACTGGTGTCGTAAAGATGTGGTTGCAGCATTTAGCTAGCCCCAATCACTTCCTTTGTCGAATCTTCTTTTGGGGTACTTCCTTGTGGATCCACGTAGTCCCACCCTCATTCCTTTCTTGCACGGGTTCGGCTATCTACTAGGTTGTGTCTGTTTTTCGCGGTCCATCCCCTTTCAGAACCACAGAAACAGGGGGTTTTCCTCAAAAGAAGACACCCCACTTACCCTTTCACCACTGAACCTGGAACCAGGGTGTCCTTCTTTCTTGCGTTGTGTTTAGAAAAGAACGGTCTTTCAGGATCCAATGTGAATTGGGAGGGAATCACTTGCATCACCTCCCAGCGACCGAACATGACTGGCTCGCGCGACGGGTCTCAGGGGAGCTGCCGGCGCTGCAGCCGGTGCCCTTTCAGCCCTTCCAGGCCTTGCCTCCGCTGGGCTGGGAGGAGGGCTGGCAGCTGAAGGCCCCCAGACCTCGCCCCTCGAGCCGAGCGGAGCCGAGCCGAGCGGAATCGAGCGGGTGGCGTCGAGAGGGGGGAAGGGGAGGTGGCTTCGGGGGGAAACTCGGTGTTGGTTTCCGAATTTTTGGGGATGAAGTTTAAGAGGGAACCACCTCAAAAGTGGTTGGCGGACATGAATCCCAACCTGAATGATGTCCACCAAAGGGTCCCTAATTGAAACTCATGCCCATTTGGGTATGGGTCAAGCTTATACCATCAGGCGACCGCAGGTGTTAGTCCTTTCCATTTACCAGGGTCCCAATTCGGGTACCTTTTTTTTGACCCACAGCCATTTTGGATTCGGGTCTTTCCGTCGAGGTCCCCAAAGCATACATGTGTAAGGGCCCCAAAGGACAAGAGAGTGAAGGCAGTTGTTCAAAACCGAGCTCTGAGCTTTGGGTGTCCCTTCTGGCTCAGAGGTGAGTTAAACAATTATCCAGGCCCAGCAACAGCTGGGGAAGCAAGAGGAGGTTGCTTCTTGGGTTTTGTTTTGAGGGAAACCCAGGGTTCTAGCAGTTCTCACAAGTCCGGGGTCCACAATTTGACGTGTCAAACACTGGTCGCTATGGGAGGACATGGAGGACGTTCTCTAAATAGCAACGGTCAGTGAACTCTCAAACAAATCATGAGTGATGACTTCCCTATCTCCGGCCGAAACAAGTTGTCGGTCATGGGAAAGTCACGTGTTAGCTCAATAGATTTCGCGGTCTGGTTTCAACGCACCCCGCAACCGATTCCAATACTTCCATTTGGTTGGTTTTGAAGGGAATCTAGCACTGCTGGAAATATGTGATTTTTTTCTCCAGGGGACGGCAAACCGACATCAACCATCAAATTTGCCCACACGCCGAGGCATGATGAGCCTCGAGCCAGGCGGAGATGCGAAGGATCCGCGAACGCGGGAGCTTGGGTAATGAGCTAAATTTGTTTGCGGCCAGACATGGGGTTGATCAGTATTCCATTTAGGGCCCTAAACTGACCATGGGTAGCTGTTCCCATTTAGTCATTTAGCGGTGAAAGTCATTCTTTGTGGTTTCCCTGGTGGTCATCCCATGTAAAGGACCTTTTGATCAACCCCCACTTTGATCGCCCTTTGAAAAGCAACGAACATTTTTGGGGTTCCATCATTTCACCTGGGAGCAAAACTTGAGTTTGGTCTAGAAATTTGTTGGCGGTTTTAGAGGATGCAAGCCCCTTCTCAAACACCTTCAAGCCCATGCTGGTAGAATTTACACCCAATTGATTTCGGGCTCTCAAATGGGTTTCCACTATAGGGCCAGCAACCAATCAGGTTTTGCCAAAACAAAAGCAACGACGTAGACCCCATTGACATACACCTGGAAAGACGCAACTTGGGTGAGCTGATTTTTTTTAGGTACCCTTTGCATGTTCCACCAAAGCCACTGTTTGTTGTGTTTTTCTTTTTGGGAGGGAGGGCGGGGCAATTTGACAGATACCCGAATGTTGTGGCTAAAGCCATCCTTGGAGACTTGCTGATTTGTGGCAAACAGGACGAAAATGGGACAAAAACCAGGCTTTACACTTTGACCTTTGCTAAAGTTGGAGCTCGTCCAGCTCCTGAGTGTAGAAATCCTCGCCCAGGCATCCTGTGAAACCAACCTACCCCCTGGGCCCTGCCTGCAAAGATTCAGGCAGATCCCCGGAGTAAAGGAACACCTTCTGGACGTTCACGGCTGAGGAGGCTGGCCATCCATTTGTTCAACCCTGTCAAAATCTGGATGGTTCCCTGGTTACCTCCAGTGACAGCTGGAAGCAGGATTTATTCGAGTAGCAGAAACATCCAGATACAATCCCCCAATTTGTCCAGTTATATGACGCTGAGAAACGGGGATTTCCTCCCTGGAGTCTCCATGACCCTTTGAAAATAGGCCCGTTGACCTCTTTATTTTTGGTAATGGCCCCATTTTGTAAGGGGAAAGAAAAAAAAGAAAACACAAAATCCGCACCCTTTTTGAAGGGTCATAGAAACTCTAGGTCCATGTTGTTGTATTAGAACAAAAATCGACGAGTCGGCGCGCATTCTTTGAGGAGTGGCTGGAGCGCCGCTGCGAGGCCTCGCTCACGGAGCAGCGCGCGGAGCTGGCGCGGCGCTTCGGGGCCTTCGAGCAGTCGGAGCGGCCGAGGGGTCGGACCACTCATGACATTTCTGACATCAGTGCAAGGAGTGTATCCCCACGTCTGTGATACAAGGGAATCCCCCTTTATATGAGCAAATTCGTCTTTGGGAGGCCCTTTCTGTTGTATCGCAGAGGTGGTCATTCCACACAGCCCTGGAAGAAATGGTCCATATCAGCAGCTAGGTCCCACAGCTAAGTGCCCTCTCTCTCTCCTTTTTTTGGTTGGGAGGGTTCGGGACCCTACAAAATAGACTACAGAAAAAAGGGTGCCCTGGAAATAATATTACAACCCCGCGCAGCCTTGGCTAATTGCTACGTGTGTACGCGCGTGGCAGTGAGTCCAGGCAACGAGGAGTTGTAATATTTATTATCTATATGCGTCGTCGGCGAGGAGGTTCACCTGTTCTTCCTCTACCTCCTAGGAGCTCCCCTTTGTCGCGCACTTTAAGTACATGAAGCCTGAGTGCCCTCTGTTTCTTGTGCTCTTCAGCAATGCTGTTTGCAGCATGCTGAAGCTCACATCATTGAGGGACGGCACACTGTATCTTTATGTGCTTACTTTGCATATGCGACCGCTTTCCCGCTGCAATGTACACTCTCAAATTTAGACGGACTTGCATCCTCTTCGGAGGCTTGCCCAATCTCAATTCGACTTCTTTCTCGTGATCTTGAACGCGCTGTTCTTGACGTGAAGCCGGCCTTTCACATATTCCGCCAAATGGCGGAATATTATGGCTCATTCAACATGAATGATGCCTATGTGGGGTACAGTGGCGGTGGCGCACCTGTCCACGGTGCTGCCTCAGAGGCATCGGGTGGCACACCCGTGCCGCCGTTGGGCGGTAAAGATGGCGACGCGACGACCCATCTGTTCAGTACCGGGATTCGAAATGAGATCATCCCGACGCCCCCTGAGGGCACCAACGACCGCCTCGCCTACCAGCGACTGGCGAATCAGACATGCGAGTGGGGTGGGAGTGTATAGGCGCATCTCCGCGGCTTTGTTTAGCACCAACCACTCCAACTTTTTGCATGCGTACGCTATGTTCCGCGGGGCGAACAAAGCTTCCGGTGTCAATAGAGCAGGCGTTCCGCCGAGCTTGGATCTATGCTGGAATCCACCAGTTCCCCCCGTGGTCACAACAGCTTTCAAAGCTGCGTACCAAACCGCCGAGGCGGCGGCCTTCGAGCCCAACATCATGAAGCCACTCAGGGAGTCCGAGGGCGTGAAATCCCTCAGAACGACAACGGACTACTTCCGCTCTGTCAATGGGCTCTGGTTCGGCAGCCCGAACAAAGAGCTCATTTCAGCTGGACTTGCCGCCTCAGCAGGTCGCTTCGACTACTTGAAACATGTATGCGAGGACCAACTGCAACTCCTTCCTTCTCCTCAAGCGTTGGGTGTCGTCGTCCTCCGACCCCGACATGAGCTGTTCAAGCCTCATCTCAGCACGGAGCCAGAGACCAATCGGGTCACGGGCGATCTGGTCACGGGGACTCAACGCCCGACTTCAAAGGGGCGCGGCCACGGGGCAGCAGCCTGTGCCCCATTCACATCGGGGATAAGGCATTTCGGCTCCACAGCTACTTGCCTCCGGGAGGTGTGCCCCCAAAGCTTCGCTAGGCATCCATGTGCCGGTGAAGCGTCCACCAAGCAGCTTGCCATGCTGCAGCACCGTTCTCTTCTTCAACATGGAGGGTCCTGTCCTACTCGGATGTGTTTGCAACTGTTAGAGTACGGTCTGGTGTGACTTTCCTTGTGTCATGGCAATTTTACCTCAACCAGGTGGGCCTTTTCTTCTTCTTCGAGGTGATCGCTTTTGCTTTTTTGCACGACGTCATATTGCGGGTGTGCGACCAATCTCCTGGAGTGTACCTTGCGGGTAAGGTTACCTCCTTGCTGGATTGTGCAAATTTATGCAGTTTGCAGATCTACCGTGGTGCCGGCAGTCCTCTGATTGCTCATAGCAGGTGTGACTTCTCCTATCCTTCCTGTTGCAGCTGGCTACTTTCAGTGCTGTCACTCTTCGCTGCGAGTGCTGTTTGCGCGCGTCAGAGCCTCCTCTACCTGGCGACTGTCCTTTCTTTGGCTCAGCATTTACTTCGTGGTACCAGTGCGGCATCCTACGCCTTGCGTGCACCAATCCCTACTTTGGGAATTGCCTCTGTTCGGATATTGTCCCAGCCTCTGAACGCCTTTGGGTGAAGGTGCTGTGTTGTGCTAGTCTCCCAGTTTGGAGGCGCTTTGTGCGGCCCTGTTGTTCCCAATTTGCTGGGAGTTTTGCGGATTTCGTCCCGTGCGTTTTTGATCATTTAACTAAGATTGTGCCCCAGTCGTTTGCCACTGCTGTGTGTAACAGGTTACCCTATGCGCCATTAAGCCTACCCAAGCAAGGGTCGCTTGATAAAACCAAACGGCCAATCCACATAGGCCCTCTTTTTGTTTGGGGACCCCTGCAAAATGGTGGTGTTCCTTCTGAGTTCCGTTTGACCTTCCCGAGAAACCAAAAGAAGAAACGGGGTACACGGGTACCCTCAAAAGGAAACAGACCCTGTGAACCATTGCAAGCATTGGGTGTGTCTCAAGAGAAGGACACTTTGACGAACACTGGCAGGGGTCCCATACGAGTGTGTCTTTTTTAGGGGATCCCATACAAGTTGCTGGTTTTCCTTTTGGTTCACGTTTAAACCTCAAAAGGGGTACCCTCAAAAAGCCAAGTGAAATCAGTTTTTTTTGTGGGGAGGGTCCCCAAAAAGTCGACACCCATATGAACCTTTGCAAGCACCAGACCTCGCGGGCCCGCGGAAAATCGAGGACAAACACTTCAAAGACTGGGTCCAGAGGGAGCAGGACCAGATCCAGGCCGGGTGCGGGTCACTCCAGTCGAATGGGAGGAAACACAAAGGTGGAAACTTGGGTTGCCAAGTTTGTCTCACTCCCTGAGTTCCTGGACGTGAAACTTTGCGGGGTTGGACCATTCTACTGGTACAGAAAAAGCTTGCATTTTGGTTGGCCCAGCCGCTCATTTGAGTATTCCCTTTTGTGCTGAACAATCAGTGCAACTCCTTTCCCTCTCATCGTTTTTGGGAAGGCGACTGGCCAAAGGACGCGTGCGCACTTCCGTTGCAGGGTAGGTGCTTTTGCACTGGTTCCCTCGGTCCCTGTCTCAAGTTTCTCTTGGTGTGGGTACTTCATTTTCGGAAGTTAATGATGCGGGCACCCGAGTTTTACCCTTCCCTATCTCAAGTCTCTCGTGCAAGCCAGAGATGACCTTCGGCAAACAGATTGGCTCCTTGTAGGCTGCCATTATGGGTTTTAGACAGCAGCCAAAGACAAAAGGGTGTGAAAGCTGAGCACGTGTCAAGGCATATGGATTACGTTCTGGTTTGGAACTTGTTGCAGCCCCAGAAAGCCACTGTGGAAGATGTGGCTAGAATCAAAGAATCCAGAGCAACCTGTCCATAGGAAACTGAAATGCAACCCAAAGTCCCAACCAACCCTCCCACCCCCAAAACCTCTCCTCCTCCCGTCCCCCAATTGTTCGGAGTGTGGTTTCCTCTTTTTGAAGGGTGCCGAGGTTTTGGTCGGGCAATCTGGCAGGTTTTTCCCCTTTAACATCCGCTCTAAAGAAACACTAAAGATTCCTGGAACCCAAGCCCTTTGGCCACAACCTAAACCAACCCTAGTAACCCTAGCCCCCAGGCCAGCCATAACCAACCCCAAGCCAACCCCATCAAACCCGAAGCATAAGCCAACTCTAAGCCACCCTTGCCCCCCCCAAAAAAAAGAAACAGAAAGACACAACACAAAACAGATAACACAAAAGACAAGACACATGTGCTACCGAACTTCATTTCCAGGCGCTCGCTTTCTCGCTGTAGGCGCAGCTCCAACAGCTGCGAGTGGCCACCCAGGAGTCCTCGACTTGGCGGGTGGATGGGTTGTTTTTTGGCGTGTTGGTTTGTGGGGTGCTCTGCATGTTTAGTAGGGTCCGTTTCGGGCTTGAGTCATGTATGGGGAAGATGGACCATTTTGCTGCCAATCCAAAAGCGTGGTGACTTTTGTTGGCCAATCCACTCAGGAGGTTCCCAAACGGTACCAAGGGAACCACCCTTCGAACATCAGGAAACGTGTTGGTTTCCTGTGGCACACGCCTGGGATCCCGTGGAACACCCAAAAGTGCATGGACCTTGCAGTCTTCTGGTCCCAAAAGGTATCAACAGGTGCTCACCTGGAGTCTCCTGACGCGAAGCAAACATGGAGCCACCCCAAATCTTTCTGCTGGGTGACTGGACCATGTGCAAAGGGTCGGAAGCATAGGTGTCCTTTCTGGTTAGTTTGGTTGAACATAGCAGGCGCTGCTGGTCCAGCCCTTTAAACATAAATATTATTATTTATGTTGAACCAAAAGGACACCAGGACCACGTCCATCCCTTGGTTCGAACAAGTCCAAGCAAGTCAAAACAACCTTAACTGGGGCGCTTCCACCCGGAACAACTGGGTTGATCCTTCTTGTTTTTCTCCTCCTGGCTTAAAGAACTCAGAAGACGCCTACTGGTGCCCACGGATCGACCTTCCGGGTGTTAGGACTGAATCGTTTGGGGATTCCCTTGAAGGCTGAAAGGACACCATACTGAATAACCCAGGGTTTGGGAATGAACCTAGGGATTCCCTTAAAAGACGCCACCAGTTGGATGGGTTAAGTCGGGGTCACGGCATGTCTCATTCCCATCGAACAAGCCAGCTGTTTGGCCATGAGGAGTCCCAGCAGCAGCAGCAGCGCTTGGTGGGGAACCTGACGGCGCAGAACCAGAAGCAGGAGACGGGGACTGGAACCGAGCAGACACCCGGGTTGCTTCCGTGTTTCTGCGGTTTCTTTTTTCTTTTTTTTTAAGGGACCAGACATGGTTGGCTTGCTTGTGGTTTCCCTCCCAACCACCAAACAAGGAGTACTCTCAACAAAGGGACACCCATTTCTTGTTAGGAGGAGGGGCGAGGGGTCTTTAACATCAGCTACCATTACACGGCCTTTTTTTTCCCATGGAACTGGGAACATGTTGGGTACTGGAAACAGTGGTCGTGTCTCAAATTGTCACGGACTCCCACCCCAACAAAAAACACAAACAACACGGCGGGGTTTCCCCGAAAAAGAGACACGCCCAGAAGACTCCACACGAGGTCAAAGTGCAACCGGTTTCCAGGCGGCATTGTGCCTTGCCATGCACCGGGTTCTGTGACGGTTTTCTTCGGCCAGGATGCATCTCGATTCTTTCTGGGTTTCGGTCCCGAGAAGTGCTGGAAAGCTTTCACGGGTTAAAGCCAGCTCCGAGTCCGGCTCCCGAAGCACCAGCCAGCTTTTGCTTGAGCCACTTGGGTGTGTCTGTGTGTGTGTGCGCGTGTTTTAGAGAACCCCCCAGCATGGATTTCGGTTTTCCACTTGGTTTCCCCTTAACACCGCAAACCAAAGGGTACCAACTGCAAAAAAAACCCACTATCCAAGGCATCTGCAGGTATGGGTTCTGTAGGTATGGCCATTTACGTAAGAGTAAGCCTCCATGCCTGCAAGATTACCCGCCACATATTCTTCCATTTGCTTAGGACTGTTTTAAAGGGAATCTATCACTACTGGAAATATTTTATTCCCAACAGCTGAAAGCTCTGGGGTCTCAGCCCAGATAGGCTCCGGGGTGGTCCGGGGCGGCCCTGAGGTAAGGTTCCACGAGGGTTCCACCAGGGTTCTACCAGGGTTCCACGAGGTTCTGCGAGGGCTACGGGATGGCGAGCACTAAAAAGAGCACCGCATGCTGTTCGCATGCTGTTGGGGATGGCACCTGAGCTTCTTTTTTTTCCAGAGAATATTTTCCCCTGTTGGTTTTAAAGGGAATCTTTCACTCTTGGATTTGTTTTTAACAAAAACAAGTCAAGCAATTTTTGTCCAGCCTTAAATGGAAGTATTTCAGTCGACAGGACATGAGGCTTCAGGAGCTGGAGGCCAGCCTCGCCTCCGCCAGCGCCCAGATCCAGGGGGTGATGAGCGCTGTGTCCGCCGGCGCGCTCTCCCACGGCCAAAGCGGAGGCGCTCGGAGTCGGAGCCAGAAAGGCTGTATGAGTTAATTAGCTGAGATGGACCATTCGGAGCCACAAATGATGTTTGATTCTATGGATTAAGTAGCTGAGATGCACCAACATGTTCAATTGGGTATGGGTCAAACTTAAACCACCAGGGGACCGCAGGTTTTGGTCCATGTTTCCATCTACCAGGATTCCAATTTGGGTACATATTTTTGACCCACAGCCATGTATGGATTAATTAGCTGTGATGGACCAACATGTTCAATCTGCAGAATGTAGGAAAGCTGCATTAGAAGTATTATCAGATTTTGTCATTTTGGAAAGCAAATCATATGTTAGCTTGTAAATGTGGTGGTGGACAAGCCACATCCGAAGACTGCCGATTGCTTTTGGGCTTTGGGGCTATTGCACCCGTCGATTTCAAGGGGTCGGACCGGACGGTCAGAAATGTGCCCAATAGTCTGGTGCAAGAATCTGTGTTTTATGAACATGTTCCGTCCACAACTTAATGCCCCACAACCCCACCCCCATATGTTCATGCTCAAAGCCCTTGTATCAAAGATGTCCCTTTCCGAAAGCATTACACACTGCAGAATCCAACGCCGTCCGAAGGGCTTTCCCTTAAGTGCCATGTTTGGGTGGTTTTGGGTATGTGTTTTGAGGCTACCCTTTTCGGGTTGCTGCAATGGGCAAAAAGAAAGCCGAAGCCATTTTTTGGGTATTCCATATCCTATTCTGACACATTCCCACGTGGGGGTGTCTTAAAGTAGGGACCCTAAAAACATGTTAGCTTCCTTTGGGTTTTCTTCCAGAAATGTCTCACTACTGGACATATGTATAATATATATATATATATGTATATGCTGTATATGAATATGATTTCTTGGGGACTTAAGCAAATAGAAACACTCCATATGGGCAAGCAACTATATTACCAGGATAGTGGGGTTTGGGTGGTCAGAATGTAATGAGGCACTATCCAACACTTGTTGAAACGCTGAGTGTATGAGCTCCTGGCCTGAAAACTGTCTGAACTCATACATCCTTGTACGAAGCCCTAGTGCAACTGCCACATGTCTCAATTGTGGGGCCGCCAGGGGGTTCAACATGGCCATGGGTTCATGTTTCTGGCACATACAATCAGGAAAGTAAAGAGTGATAGACCATAGATGATGTTGCTCCCCAAAGGAAGCTGGTTTGACTTTGTTTTGCGCATTGATTGTTCTTCAGTGTTTTAGTTTCCCATTTTGAAACAACCTTCCGCTGCTTTTTGGTTTAGGACCGCTTTGTTGGGTTCTTTGGGGCACACTTTGGGTTTCCCGTAGCTCATACCCCCAGGTTCGGGCAGCATATGGGTGGCGCGTCTGTTTTGAGAGACCCCCCATTGATTTTCCTTCTGGTTTCTCCGTACAGCCCTGCGTGTGCCCCCTTGGGGTTTCCCTTCAACCCTACACGCTGTCGGGACATAGAGAGGCCGTAGAAGGCACTGCAGGCATTGCGCACCAGCAGCACGGGTACTGGCGCACTCTTGATTCCAAAGGCACCACTGCGAGAGATGTAGTGTTTGAAGTTTGTGCATTCAACAATGCGCGTGGGTTTGTCTTTTTTTGAGGGTACCCTTTTTGGGTGTCTTTCTTTGGGAAACAAAAGGAAACCAACCATTTTTGTTGATTCCCTTTTGAGACAAACCCATGTCATTTGCTCGCTCGGCTGCACCTCTAGCACGAGCCCAGCATCAAGTTATGCTGCAATGAATCAAGCACACTCACGAACATTCAACACTTTGGCACGAAACGCGCCGACCACCGCTCACATGTGATGCAGCTTGATTTAGGCGCACCGCTGCAATTAGCGGCATAATACGCGCACTCTCCCCCGTCATTCCTCATAAACAATAGTAATTGGAGGGCCATTTTTTTAAGGATTTTTTTAGTTTTTCTTTAGGAATTATTTTTGTTTTTCAGGGTGGGTGGCTTTTCGGCTTTTTGGCTTTTGTGGCTTTTCATTTCGCATCCTCTGCATTCACAGTTCCTCTCTTTCGCTTGCCAGTTGCGCTGGCTTTTTGGCTTTGTGGCTTTTGGCGGCTTTCTGGCTTTGGCTTTTCGCATCGTCTGCTTTCCCAGTTGGTTTTTGGCCTTGGCTTCCTGCATCCTCAGCATCGCAAGTTCCTCTTTGGTGCCCCCCGCCAACCCCCTTTCGATTAAAACACACGCCTAATTGAATCATCACTTTTTCGATCATCATGTGACAGCTGCTTCTTAGATTCTTTGGCTGCCGTTTTACAGGGATTAGTTTGCCCGTGATTGAATCCTCACTTGTACCATGAGGCCTTGCCGCAGAGGAACTGATGACCCCCCGCTGCCTTTTTATTTTTTTTGGCCCTAATTGAATCATCACTTTTTCAATCATCGTGGGGGGGGCGGCCCCCCCCAACCCCCCCGCTATTTTTTTGCACTTTTTGCCCCTATTTGAATCATCACTTTTTCGATCATCATGCGACCGCTACTTTTTAGATTCTTTGCCCCTAATTGTTCGATCATCATGGGGGGGCTGCCGCCCCCCCCAAACCCCCCGCTATTTTTTAGACTTTTTGCCCCTGTTTGAATCATCACTTTTTCGATCTGCAGGGATTAGTTTGCCCGTATTTGAACCCTCACTTGTACCATGAGGCCTTGGCGCAGAGGCACTGATGCCCCCCCCGCTGCTTTTTTATAGGTTTTGGCCCTAATTGAATCATCACTTTTTCAATCATCGTGGGGGGGGCTGCCGCCCCCCCCCAACTCCCCCGCTATTTTTTAGACTTTTTGCCCCTGATTGAATCATCACTTTTTCGATCATCATGGGGGGCTGCCGCCCGCCCCAACCCCCCCGCGCCTTTAATTGAATCATCACTTTTCAATCATCATGGGGGGCTGCCGCCCCGCCCAACCCCGCTACGTTTTAGGTGTTTTACAGGGATTAGGTTGCCCGTGATTGAATCCTCACTTGTACCGTGAGGCCTTGCCGCAGAGGAACTGATGACCCCCCCGCTGCTTTTTTTTTGGCTTTTTGCCCTAATTGAATCATCACTTTTTCAATCATCGTGGGGGTGGCTGCCACCCCCCCCAACCCCCCCGCTATTTTTTTGCACTTTTTGCTCTATTTTAATCATCACTTTTTCGATCATCATGCGACGGCTACTTTTTAGATTCTTTGCCCCTAATTGTTCGATCATCATGGGGGGGCTGCCGCCCCCCCCAAACCCCCGCTATTTTTAGTTATATTTTTTTGGCCCTAATTGAATCATCACTTTTTCAATCATCGTGGGGGGGGCTGCCGCCCCCCACAACCCCCCCGCTATTTTTTTGCACTTTTTGCTCCTATTTGAATCATCACTTTTTCGATCATCATGCGACGGCTGCTTTTTAGATTCTTTGCCCTTAATTGTTCGATCATCATGGGGGGGCCTGCCGCCCCCCCCAACCCCCCCGCTATTTTTTAGACTTTTTGCCCCTGATTGAATCATCACTTTTTCAATCATTAAGGGGGGGGCTGCCGCCCGCCCCAACCCCCCCGCGCCTTTTATTGAATCATCACTTTTTCAATCATCATGGGGGCTGCCGCCCCCCCCAACCCCCCCGCTATTTTTGGACATTTTGCTCCTAATTGAATCACTTTTTCGATCATCATGTGACGTTACTTTTTAGATTCTTTGCCCACAATTTTTCGATCATCATGGGGGCCCCCCCAAGGGGGGCTGCCGCCCCCCCCCAATTCCCCTGCGCCTTTAATTGAATCCTCACTTTTACCATGAGATGCGGGCAGCCAATTTGCTGGTGATGCTGGCGATGTTGGCTGGATATGCGGGGGATGTTGAAAACGATGCTGATGATGTTGACGGACGCGTAAAAAATACGTACATTTCGCGAGAAAATGCTGTAAATTACAGCATTTTAGTAGCCAGGACGGAAAACAAACAAAATTCCCAAAATAAAACAACAAAAAATCGCAAATTAAATCTCGACCCATAGTAATTTTGCATATCCACGCAGCCACGATGTCCAGGATCCTGGACCCTCCACTTGGATCCTGGACCTCCCAAAATCTGGCTTTGCTTTGCTGTTGCTTTCCCTGTAAACCCACCATATATCCAAAAAAGGTAGCCTCAAAAGCACCTCCACTTGGGGGTCGATCCAGGCACCGGCGAGGCCGCGATGGGCGCGGCAGCCGTGGCAGCGTCCGCGGCCTCCAACCTGGAGGCGCGGAGGTCTTGGAGGGGCTTTTGGGAAGACGATTTTGGCAACGAAAGTTCCATCTACGCAGTTGCCTCTTTCTGAGTTTCTAGCTGTCTTTGTGACATAGTCGTCCTCCAATGACCTGGGGGCCTGACAGAGTCTGTTTCTTTGCTTTCGGTAAAACCCAATGTCAAAGTTGGGAGACTTTTTTTTTTGCAAAGTCCCATTCGGCAGGTTGGTTTTGGTTTTTTGGCCCCCTATCAGTTTTAGTGGTAATATTGAGGGCCATTCAGAATTGGAATGGGCTGCGTTAAAACACCATGGCGTCATGATTACAGGAAGAATCTAGTTCTACCCTCAGGATACCTTGGGGTCTTATGGACCCGTTCCGATCCCATGCCATATCGCGAGAGTCACAAATCTGGCACTTGTGGGTGGCCACCTATGGCCAAGAGGCAAGCCAGCCGAAAAAACCTGCGATAGAGAGCTTCTTTCTCCCTCGAGGGGAGTATTTTTCCTGTGACTCAACCAACAATTTGTAATACATATCCAGTAGAGACCATGCACGGGTGCTCTTTTTTTCAGGGGTCTGAAACCTTGGTTACCTAGTACACTGCTGCCTCCTCCAAAATTATAGTTTGTATTTTACAAAAACATCTTAGGCTTGGTTCAATTTGGACGAATCTGAACATGTCGTCCATGTAGCCCGGATTAGGGTCAAGTATATTTCACCCATCATGTTCTTCAGACACCACCCATTTCCCCCGGGTTTGGCCCCATTGTGTTGGAAGAGAAGGACCCCCTGAAGAGAATGAAAATGTAAGGTACAGCTAGAACTACAGCGGCTTATTAGCACTGGGTAAGAGGCTAAACTGGACCGTTTGTTCATGCAGACAGATCTGTGCCACTTATCTTATATCGTTGATTATGCAGCAGGACCCACCTGTCACACAACTATGAAGCACACAACTATGTTCTATTTCAAGGGCTATGTATGAGAAAACATATGCTCTATTGGGGGGTATGCAACAGGATCTGATCTTCTGGCTCTGTATTTGTTTAGGAGTTGGACCCTCCAAAATGGATTCCGGCTTTCCTCTTGGTTTCCCTTTCCCACCCCCCCAAATGGGTACCAACTGGAAATCGACACACTCCCTGTCTCTTACTTGGAACTTCAACATGATCACCTTTTGGTTCACCTTTTTCATGTTCAAACACATTGTTATTGGATCTGATCATATTTTCTATCGTGACTGTTCTCCTTTCAGTTTCGCTTGCCCCTCCACAACTGGGTACCAACTCAAACAAAACACGACCCCCATATTGGGTATGTCTCTTTGCTTTTGGGGATCCCCGCCTGTTGGTGGGGGGTATGTCTTCTTTTGGAACCCCCCCCCCGTTTTGGGTTCTACAAGGGAAGGAACAGAAGCGACCCCCCCCCCTCCCCCATATTTGGGCATGTCGTTGTTGTTTTGGGGGGGACAAGGTGGAGGGCCCTTTTTGGTTTTGGGGACAAGAGGAAAGCGGTGAACGCGCCATGATCTGAGACGCGAGGTGCTGCGCGCAGGCCTGGAGCGGGAGGCCTCCGCGCGGGTGGCCTTGGGCGCTGAGACGGCCGAGCAGCTCAAGCAGCCGGGGCCCGAGAGTCAGGTGCGCTTCCCCCGTGTTTTGGCATGTTTGTTAATTGTTCGTTCTGTTTTTTTGGAGGGGGGCGTCTTTTTATGTTTCTTTGTTTCAATACATTAATATCTATATATAGTTTTGTTTTAGGCTATGTTGTTTTTTTGGAGGGGGCTTCCTTTTTTGTCTTGCATTTTTTGTTTGTTTGAGCATTCTGGTTTTCTGGAGGGGGGTTCCATTGTTTTGTGTATTTTTTGGAACGTCTTTTTTTATAGTCTCAGGTCCAAAGGTGACGAGACAAGCAGTTGGTCTCTGATTCTGCCATAAAGAGAAGTGCACAATGGGAAGTTTCCATAGGCTCTTCAGACTTTCTCAAACCAGGCGACCGACTCACCTATGGCTTGCTGTGCGCGGGGTGCGGTGGTGCAATTCCAGCTCCGTCCCGTTTCCATGGAGTGTCCATTACCCTACTTGGATCTTTGTGGCCCAGTTAGGTGGTTAGCCAGGCTACCCACAAATAACAGGCTTAACCCCAATAAGGGGACCTTATAGGTGGAATATAACCGGCGACAAAAGGAAGCCTCCTATCATATGTATGATTCTACTTATTTGTTCATCCCTTGGACAACGTCCAAATATGACCAGTAGTGATAGACTCCCTTCAAGATTAACAGGGCAAAAGAAGCGAACTCTGAAGCAAAAGAAAGTAAGGGCCTCTGGAATAACCCTGTAGGTGTTTCTCGTTCTTTTCTAGCCGCCCCTTTTTAGTGGGGGAGTTCAGCACCTCGTTGATTGGTACGGTCCTCTGGATAATCCGAAGTCAACACTAGCTTGACGTGGAACAACTTTGAACTTTTGAATTATTTATTTATCATTCGAGTCAATGCCCAAAAAGTTCAATCTTTGGCAGTCAACTGGACCGGTCGGAGTCAGTGTTGCGTCAGGTTGAGCGACATGGTCTTCGAGCTCAGCAACCGGCAGCACCAGCAGGTCATCCGGGGTTCCCATTACCTTCAAAGGAACCACAGGAGACCATTGCTATGTCTTTAAGCTCGCTACCCAAGGAGCCACGGACTTGGCTGAGCTCATGTCCTGAGTTCCAGTTCCTGGACTTTACTCGCTTGGATTTGGACCACTTTACTGGTGAACAAAAAGTGTCGGTGACTTTGTTGTTGTTCTTCTTCTTTTTTTTGGAGGGGGGGGCAATCCACTTTGGACTATCCTAATTGTAAACAAACAGTTGATGACCTTTGTGGCCAATCCACGTTCGGGAGCGGGTGAGACAATGAGACAATGCTGTAGCCTTTGGGTTTGACCCATGCCTTACGGAAACGGCGTGAACCGGGGCCCATAGGCTGGTTCCACCAGACCTGCAGTTGACCCCGGTTTAATTACGCAGATATCTGCGGATTTCTTCCCAACGTGAAGGAGTGTCTCTCAAATCGGACAGCTCCCTATTGGTCAAAGGCTTCCAACGGTGTTTGCTCCCGGGCCAAATGAAGGACGCCCTTTGCAAAGGGCGGGCCTGCACGGAATCGCTTTCACCCCTCACACTCGAAATCAAGCAGCCAAGACCATTCCCCTCAGCTTCCTCACAGTTCTCTGGAAGGATCACACGGGTGTGTCTTTTTCTTGGGGTGCCCTCTTTTGGTTGGTGTTAAAGGGAAACCAAAAGGGACACAGCCATTGCGATTCAACAATGCAATTTGGGTTTATCTTTTTTGGAGGGTACTCTTTTTGTGGTGGTTTTAAAGGAGAGCAACAGGAAAGCCACCCATTTTGAGGGTCCCTCTATGTTGACACAGACCCATTTCCATTTGGTTTCCTGTTTTTGTTCACCTTTTGGGCAAACGCGACCGGAGGTCTCCCCCCGAACAGTTTTGTATGTAATATTTCGAGGGAGACAAAGTGGGGGTGTCTCAAGACAGGGCACCCCTGAAATGGTTGGTTTCCTTTTGCCCTGAAAATCTGATTGACCCCAGATGTGGGCCAAGAAACTCTTATAGAACCAACCGCCAGCTTTTTGCAGTTTCTACAAGTTGGGTTTCCCAGCACCCACCAAATGGCCGGAAGCGATCAGGCCGCGATGGCGCAGCAAAAGCTGCAGCAGAACGTGGCAGTGGAGGAACGGATCTGGACTACCCCCCCCGCCCCCGCTCCAAATGGGTGAGTTTTTTTTTGGGGCGGCCTCACAAACTGGTGGGTGTTCCTTCGGGTTGCCCTTTAAACCATAAACACAAGACTATACCCTCAAACAAACACACACACACACACACACACACACACACACACACACACACACACACACACACACACACACACACACACACACACACACACACACACACACACACACATCGAATTGATGTACCCACTTCTTGGTTGACGGCCTTTGGAGACCCGTTTGGGATTGATCTGGGTAAATTGGTATATTTCTGCCTCCTACTCCAATCATCCACTTGTTTGTTGAGTGCCACCCTTGCAGGTACTCTCCCGAAAACACACCCATGTTTTCGTTCATGTTCAGGGAGGCTGCTGAAAGACCAGAAACTTGGTTGAGTATATGTTGAACCAATTGGAATCCACAGCAAGCGCTTCGTGTCAATTCCAACCCCCTTTCGAAATGATGCCTTATGTGTCCAAATCTATGCATCAACTGTTGGCGTTCCTTCTTCCCTTCAAACCAACCTGGAAAGGGCACCAACTCCAAACAACAACAACACCTGTATAGGATCTAATTTGGGTTGGATCCCTTGAACCTCCGCAAGATGGCTTCCGAAGTGATTGGTCTTCCATATGGGTATGTTGTTTTTGTTGGAGAAACGTACCGTTTTCAGGGTGCATTGAAGGAAAACCAGAAGGGAATCATCATTTTCGGGGCGTCGCCACTCTTAGATAGACCAATATGGACCCTGGCGTGGTTTCCGTCAGGACACTTGTTGGCAGAACTCCAAACAGAGGTCAAAAAAGACACCAGATAGACAGGGAACCAGAAAACCAGCTTGGGTGCGAAACAAGCTACACACTGAGCAAAGATTGTGACCCTCAAGCGATAAGAAAAGATGCTGTTTGTACCTATCTGACCAAAGGACATGTTCACTATCCAATCTGGTGACTGAATGTTGACATTGGTTCACATCCTCAGGTTTCCCTCCAGGCACCTAGAAATGGGCGTCCATCAGTTGGTCAGCGGCAAGGGATGAAACCTAAATTGGACGGGCGGGGGGGCGCTGAAACCAAGACACGATTTAGCCCCTTCCACTTGTTCTAGCAATTGTAGTGGACAAGGGGCCTTTTCAAGAGGACAGGTGTCTTCAAAAGCGCTTCTGTCAGCTTCCATGATTGTGGAACACATATGCATGATTCCCCGGTTTCAACTGGAGATTCCAAAGGGGTTCACGGCTAACCATGGTTCCGTTTTGCTTGTCCAAATAGCAGAAAATTGGAATGACATGGTTATGACATCATGGCATGGTCATGACATGGGCATGACAGGCATTTCGCGTTTGAGCAGCTTACGCAACCTGGGTCAGGATTAGCTGGATTTCTCCTACTTTGAACGGGGAGATATCGAGCTTCACTTGCTAGAGTCATGGCCATCCCCGCTGGGCTTGACTTGGCATTCAAGGAACGCTTTTGGCGCCTTGTTGTGGATTGAAGAAAACACTTTGCACCAGTTGGGCTGGATGAAACCCTGGGAGTGTTTACTGGGATAAGCCATCCTCTCACTGGTGCAGGATGTTGTCCTTCCATAGGATTGCTGGCAAACATGCAGAAGCAAATGACACGTACAGTTAGTTGTGAGGATGTTTGATCAAGGCAGTACACTTAATTGTTTCAGCGTAGCCTTTCAACTATTCGTTTGCCTGACTTTGCCCTTTGTGCGTGTGTATGTTTCAAGGCTAGCTTTTACCTCAGTGGTGTTCGAGCAAGTTTGTTATCCAAAGCAGTTCGATCGATTTGTTGTAAAGCACCTCTTTACTGCCCTGTTCTTCATAGCCCTCTCCTCGAAAGGGATATGCAAGCATTCGAATTGCCGGCCATGTACCAGCGAACGAACAGGGAATGCCACCCACGCATAGACCCAGTCTTAGATCAATAGGGATGAGACAACTATTAGCAAGGGTTCATGCCAAGGACACCATGAGCATGGCCCGCAGTTGGACAATTTGCCCCGGGCACCTGAAACAGGGAAATATGTCTTCGACCTCACAAATACGAGTTGCAATCTCAGGTCCCATGAAGGCTTCTTAGGATCCCCCTTTTTTGGGGGGAGAGGAGGGGGTGTTGGTTACTTTATGTTGGACTCGAAAAACCATATTTTGTTTATGATATGTAGATGTGCCGGCCCCAGGTCGCACCCAACAGCTGGTTAACATTCAGACACTGAGTGTCCTGAGTAAGGAACAACCATCTCAACCCTTTGAGGTTGTCATCCATGTTGTTTGCTCGGGCTTGAGGATGGTCTTCCAGCTTTTAAGAGTTGAACTGTTCCTTTGGGAGTTTTGACCAGACCCCTATGGCACGGTTCGAGACTCGGCTCCCGAGTTGGACTTTCTACCTGTTGGGAATACCTGGTGTCTCCGGGGCCAACCGCCAAAAGAAGGTGGTTAGTTTCAGCCGTGTCTGGTGGTTCTCAAAGCCGGCCACTGGGATCCGCGCTTTTGCTTCAGCACTTGGGGTGACGGCCGGAAAAAGCCCAGGTTCCGGAAGCCCAGGAAGAAGGACCCGCAAAAGGAATCTCAAGACATGAAGTTCCCCTTGACCAACCTGCACTCCCAGGCCAAAGCCCCCGCAGGAAGTTAGACCTGGGGAGTTGGAGCAGCTCCCCTTTTTTTCTGGTGGTTGCAAACCATTTTTTTCCGCTGAACAGATCACAGAAAACCTCACTCCCTGAGTTCCTGAACTTTGCACTTTTCGGGTTCGAACTTGTTTTCGTGGCAAGCAACAGGACAAGTGTCAAGTTACTTTTTGTGGCCAATCCACTCGTTCGGAACTGAGACAGAACTTGCCTCGACCCCCGTGTCCTCGTGAGGAGCAGCAAGCGCAGCGCCAAGAAGCTCGGCTGTCGTCCCTGGAGCCGGGGGTGCAGCAGATGAGGGAGGCGCGAATCGAACTCGCGGCG